AGCATTTAGACTTATATATAACTCCACAGTGCTTTAGAGCCCTCTAAGCAGTTTACAGAGTCAGCTACTTGCTCCCAACTATCTGGGTCCTCATTTTACTGACCTTGGAAGGACAGAAGGCTGAGTCAATCTTGAGCTGGTCGGAATTGAACTGCTGGCAGATGGCAGAATTAACCTGCAATGCCGCATTCTAACCACTCTGCCACTGGAGCTCTAAATAGTAGTCGTTGCATTCAGCGGTGGTGGTGATGGAAACAGAATCCGGGAGCTGTAATGGGAGGTGGGGTTCTGCCCTTCTAGTGCTGGGATGGGCCTCCTCATGGTCCAAAGTCTCATGGGTTGGGTTGGGCATCGGTTCTTTGTGTCTGTGTTTCAGTCCTCCAGGTAGCCATGACAGACAAGAAGATTTTGGACGGAATGGCAAAAATGGCAGCAAAGAAAAACAAGGCACTCAAAGGCATCAAAGCGTGAGTTGATTCATTTGCTCTGTGGTAGCAAGGGATGAGTCTGGATTTTGACCCCAGGATCTAGAGATCTTGGGGTGCAAACCCCCAATTTTCCAGCCAATAGTTGAAGACCCAACAGATCTGGTTTGGTTCTGCAACCCAACAGGACAGACACAGACTTCAGAGAGTAATTAGGACTGCAGAAAAAACAATGGCTACCCACCTGCCTTCCATGGAGGACCTGTCTACTTCACGAGTTAAAAAGAGGGCTGTGAAAATATCTACAGACCCCTCACATCCTGGACATAAACTGTTTCAACTCCTACCCTCAAAACGATGCTATAGAGCCCTGCACACCAGAACAACTAGACACAAGGACAGTTTCCCCCCGAACGCCCTCACTCTGCTAAACAAATAATCCCCTTGACACTGTCCAACTATTTACAAAGTCTGCACTACTATTACTATTCATCTTCTCATCCCTCCTTATCACCCACCCGCTTCCACTTGGGACTATAACCTTGTTGCTTGTATTCCAACGATTTATACTGACTGTTTCCTAGTATGATTTGATTGCTTATTTGTATCCTATGACTATCATTAAGTGTTGTACCTGATGATTCTTGACTCTTGACGAATGTCTCTTTTCTTTTATGTACACTGAGAGCATTTGCACCAAAGACAAATTCCTTGTGTGTCCAACCACACTTGGCCAATAAAAGAATTCTATTCTATTCTATTCTATTCTATTCTATTCTATTCTATTCTATTCTATTCTATTCTATTCTATTCTATTCTATTCTCTATCCCATTCCATCCCATCCCATCCCATCCCATTCTATTTAAATTCTATTCCTATATCTGTCTATTCTATTGCATTGTACCCTATGACTGTTATTAAGTGTTGTACCTGATGACTGTTGACTCTTGAAGAATGTATCTTTTCTTTAATGTACACTGAGAGCATTTGCACCAAAGACAAATTCCTTGTGTGTCCAATCACACTTGGCCAATAAAGAATTCTATTCTATTCTATCTGGATGGAGGGCAAGACCTCAGGTCCTAGACAGAATGCCCGTCTATAGCAGCAGTATTAGTGAAGAACGGGAAGGTTTAATCTTGGATTTAATCTTGTCAAGACAGCCATTTGTTGGGATGGTCTGAGGTCTCCTGCCTTGGACAGGAGGTTGGATTAGAAGACCTCCAAAGTCCTTTCCATCTTGCTGTCAGGATTCCAGCAATCGCTCTAATTAAATCATGATTCTTGAGCCAAACTTCAAAAAACTTCAAAGGATTCATTAGAGGCGACATACTGGCCCTGCCCTGCATGAAGCCAACTCTGGCCTACCTCATTAATAGTCCCCTGGGACCCTGTTTCTCCCCTCCCTCCCCGCTGGGTGTCTCATCAACCAGGTTCTCCCATTGAGCCCATTCACGGGCTGGGTGTCATCAATCACGTTCTCCAATGAACTATATTCGTGGGCAAAAGCTCCGGTAGTTTAGTTACAATCCTTTAAAGATAAGAGTGGGAATGTACTTTTGCTTTCAAACTGCTGCACTGCTCTTCCAGTTTTCCTCCACCCCACTTTTTATGGCAACTACTAAAACAGGCAGAGGAATGTTTTCTGAGTTGACATTCGGCTCCTCTCACTTCTTGAAGGTGACCTGTGTTAAGCAAAAACAAATTGAGTGCAGATATAGAATTTAGGGTTGCTATAAGGTGATCAGCCTGGATGTTCCTACTCTACCCAAGATGCCTCTGATAATGGGTAGCCCTTCCACTTGATTTGCTGTCAGGATTCCAGCAATTGCTGTAATGAAATCATGATTCTCGAGCCAAACTTCAAAAAACTTGAAAGGATTTAATTGAGGCGACGCCCTGCCCTGTATGAAGCCAACTCTGGCCTACGTTATTTCCGGTCCCCTGGGACCCTGTTTTCCCCCTCCCCCCTGGGTGTGTCATAAATCAGATTCTCCAATTGAGCATGTGCACAGGCTGGGTGTCATCATTCACGTTCTCCAATTCAATATATTCCCGGGCAAAAGCTCTGGTGTTTCAGTTACAATCTTTTAAAGATAAAGAGTTGGAATGTACTTTCACTTCCAAACTGCTGCCCTGCTCTTCCAGATTTCTTTCCTCCCTCCCTTTTTTTTTTTAAAAAAAATAGCAACTACTAAAACAGGCATAGGAATGTTTTATGAGTTGACATTAGAAAATTAGCAATGGGAGCATGATTGAAGCATAGCTCAGAGAAGCCAAAAAGAGATTTCATTGGGTTGGTGGTCTTCCTGAGAACTTGTCCAAAGCTCTGAGTACTTAGTACTAATCCTTGCACACAAGTACGGTGTACAAGTACTATACACAAGTCTATCATCTTCCCTGAGAAACTGTACACAACTCTTAATACTTAGTACTAGTAGGCTACTTCTAAGCATTTAACCAGGTGCTCACCCATCATGAAACCAGTGGTGGGATTCAAATTGTTTTACCACTGGTTTGGTGGGCGTGGCTTGGTGGGCATGGCTTGGTGGGCATGGCTTGGTGGGCGTGATGATACTGTCTGAACTAGTAGCATACCACCACTGCATCCAACATGCCTTTCATTGTCCCGAAGATGCTTTTTCAAGAGGCAGCTGGACTTTTTGAATTTTGATTTTGCTTCTCCTCGAAGAAGCTTCTTCAGCTCTGACCGGATGGTGGGGAATGGAAGGATTTATGCTCCTTGCAGACACAGCTGGTCATTTGCATCCTTTGAGAGGGCCGTTGAGGCCACCTGGAGGTTCATCTGTGTCCTCGGGGGTCACTTGAGTGGTGCAAATGGGTGTGGAGCCTCATTGGAACTGCTGAAAGGATGATGTTGTAGACTGGAGATGGATGACGTTGTATCCCTCCTCCTTTGTTGAGAGAGGGGCTATTCGATTTGGACCTAGATGGCCTCTTTGACCCTTCTTCCAAACCAGTGGTCCTCTCTGTCCAAAATGTGGACTTTGCTATCTTCAAAAGAATGGCTTTTGTTAATTGAATGCAGGTGGACTGCTGAATCTTGTCCTGATGGGTTTGTTCTCCTAGGTTGTGCCATGCATTTGTGAAGTGGGCTGTTTTGTTCCCCAGTGTACAGATCTGCCTTCAAAGAAAAATCAGAAAGTCCAGTTGCTTCTTGAAAAAGCACCTTTGGGACAACCAGGACCTGGAGGATGGAGAACTTCCGTAGATGCTTTCCTTTGCCGTTCTTCATGCTATCCTTCTTTAATTCATAGGATGAAACTTAAAGATCTGAAACCCCCTGAAATTTCCACGAAGTTAATTCCACCCGAGAAAATACAGACGTCCATGATCATTACCCTCACAGTTGGTGGGAAAAGGTGAGCGGGACGCTCTTTGTCAAAGACCTGGAAAGTAGATGTGGTTCAGGGTGGCTTTGAGATGTTTGGGGGGACTTATTCACCCAACTGAATGGAGAATCTTGCCTAGAATGTAAAGAAAGACGCTGTTCTACGGGTAAATGTGAAAACCTGGACATTGGACCATTTTTAGATTGGATGTTGGGCAGACTGTCTCTCTCTCTTGTCTTTTGTGCAGTTTTATTGGTGGAAATATGGAGATCACCATGAAAACCAAAATGGACATCATGATTAAGATGACGAAGCACCCCACAAAGAACATCGGGATAGAGAAAACTGGGTGTGAACTGCATCTGCTGGCCTACAAAACCAACCTTCCCAGCAAGTGAGAATCACAAGGCGTATGGGGTTCAGCCAAGAACTCAGAAATCTGAATCTAGCTAGAAACAAAAGAGGGCCAATGATATGAAGGACGAGGAAGGTGTAGCTCAGGAACCATCCCCAGAAATGGAGAATTACAACGCAGGGGACCTCCAGGAAGTATGAGGGACCAGAGTCTCCACTCTTTGGTTCTGTGGTGGCCTGTTTCTCCTCATTTTGACTCCCAACTCTTGAAAACCAGACTGTTCTAAGTGGTTTACAGAGTCAGCCTATTTGCCCCCAACAATTTTTCAAATGAGGACCCACTTCGCAAGGACGGAAGGCTGAGTCAACCTTGAGCCAGTCAGGATCGAACTATTGGCAGTGGGCAGAGTCAGCCTGCAATATTGCATTCTAGTAGATAGATTGGAATAGACAAACAGATGATAGATAGATAGATAGATAGATAGATAGATAGATAGATAGATAGATAGATAGATAGATAGATAGATAGATGGTT